GACCAAAGTTATCGAGGTCGAAAGACGTAGCCTTAAATTAAGGCCTTGTATGGGAGGGATTAAAATCGGATTAAAATTGAAAATATAGCCGTTATTGTTGACTTTTATTAGACAAGTGGGACCCAATAACGGCCATATTTTCAATTTTAATTGGCTTTTAATCCCTCCCGAACGGGGCCTAAATATATGCGCGTAAAATTGGTATTAAAAAGTTTCCCCTCAATCTTTTCTTTTTAAATAGGATAATTATATTATCACTACCAAATTTGCTAAGTTCACCACAATTTTAAGTAATTTTCTTATTTCCATAAATAACCCTAAGTAAAATTACTTAAATAATAGAGTTTCTCTTTACAAAATTTTAATTTCTCCTCAGTCATTTTCGTCTTCACTTCTCACAATATCCAATTTTAAGAAATTCAACAGGTAATAAACAATTTGAAATATTTAGCAATGTTAAAACTAAAAACTTAATTTAATGGGTGGTGAAGCTTGCGTATCTCTTTTCCCTCCACTCTTCTTGATGGACGGTAAGAAGAAGCCAAGGATAAGCATTCCAGAAATTGACGATACGATGGGGATGAGGACGATTTTTATCCACATTGCACGTTTGGCAAAGCTTAAAATTATAATTTAAATTGGTCGAACATATTTTTTTATCCACACATTTTGAAAGACTTAGCTCCTGTTTGGCATTGATTAAAATCCAAACTTTAATGTAAATCAAATTCAACAATTAACTTTAACGACATATTTCATGAGTCCCACAACTTTTCAATCACATGTTTCATTACTTTTATCAAATTTACTAAAAATATGATTTTAATCTCAACATTCTTTTACGTACATAAATCATTACGGTCAACCTAAATGTTACGTTCACCACAATGATGGATTCCATTGGGAGCCCATGTTTTAGATTCAACATTTATGTCTCGGTTGTCGAGGCATGCTTGATCAAAAGATCGCCTCGATCGGCGATGCTCACCGAGAACAAAGGAGTGTCCTTTAACTAAGTGAGAAACATGACTAAGGGCCTCAGTCAAAGGCATAATCAAGGGTCTCAGATAGACCCGGACATTGAAAATCTAAACTTAATCGTGATTTTTAACATAATAATGAATAATGTTAACTAATAAAAATGATTAAAACACCCTCATAAATTTTCTATAAATAGAGCATTGCAAAATAAAAAAGTGGTGGGAAATTTTGGAAGTCAGAAAGAACATCGCTCAAAATAAGATCTTGGATTGAAAGAATATCTGGGATCGAATATCTCAAAGAATGAAAAAATACTTCTAATCTAAAAATGTCTCCAGATGAAAGAGGGTCAAAATATCATTCGCTCCCTCATAAAGAAGATTGACTTCAAAAATACCGAAAACTCCCAAAAGAGAGCAAAAACTTATCGAAGTCGAGAGAGAAAATCACACCGTTGAATTTGAAAAATACAATTTTTTTTTTTTTGAGATCAATACATTCCAAGCTTGCAAGCACTTAAAAAACTACCAAACATATAAGCGTGGGTGTGGCCATTGACCATAGTGGACTACACAATGTTATTCTAAGTCCTTGTTTGACTTACATTATTTTTTTTCATTCTCATTCTTCTACTCATTTTCAATCACACTTTTTTAATAAAATAATATTCTTCATCACATCAATAACGTTTCCTTCATTTTCAACCACATATTACTCATCACATCACTTAAAAAAAAAATGCATACTTTCATTTTAATATACACTAAACGGGCAGACAAAACTCAATTAACACAACTAATACCACGAATGTTAGAGAAACATCTCGGATGTATCTTTCTTCTAATACCTTAACCCAGTGAAAAGGGATTTGTTGATGAATAATAAATGTCTGAAATTCGTACCTAATTGATGTTACAATAAATTCACTCAACTATAAACCCTAATACCGAATTTCTGCCTAAATTGTTGAATTGAATTACTTGGATGGCGATTCTCTCAGACTACGAAGAAGAAGACCAGATGCAGACGACATCAAACAAGCCGTTTACCGCTGCGTTTGATCCGTCAAACCCTTTAGGATTTCTGGAGAAGGTTTTTGAGTTCGTGGCGCGAGAGAGCGATTTATTCAAGAGTGATTCCTTGATAAAGGATGTGAGTGCTGTGGTTAGAATGGTGAAGGAGAAAGTGGAAGTCGAGGAGAAGAAGAGGAAAGAATTGAAGGCTGAACGAATTGTAAGAGCTGAAAAGAAATTGAAGGAGGATCCACTATTGGCTACTGAGGTGAAAAAGAAGGAGTTGGAGCCGGAGGTCATGGAGGAGGAAAAGGGAAGTGATGCTAAAGAGGAGGAGAAAAATGGGCCTCGAGGTATCCTTCAACTTTTATTATTTACTAAAAGTGGATTTTTTAGAATTCGGTTCCATACATATTACTTTTTGCATATAATGGCTCCGAGACATCAATTTTTTGGAATGTCTTCACAAACTTAGACTGGAAAGGGATTTATTTCTTCTGAAAGGTTCCATTTCTTTGAATGCAGTTAGATTTTTCTTTACTGATTATGTCATTTTTTCTCTTTATGGCTCGATTCCGTTTAAATTTGTCCACTGTATGCTTTGCATATTCTGGGATTTTAGCAGTGATGATTAATGTTTACAAGGCACTAGAGTTCATTATGAGTAGTGCATTGATGAAGTGTTGCTTTCAAATATCTTTCCTGTTCAATTTTGCATCTCTGCGTAAGGCTATGGGAGTCTTGATTTGCAGTACTCATGTTCCTCTGTGTTTGATTTTCAGCGGGGAGGAATATATGAGAGCGTAAAGTTTGTTATTTCTTCATATATCATAGGTTGGAACTCTATTTGCTTCTGTTGAATTGATTTGGTATATTAGGAATTTATATATTTCTTTCAAGCGGCCTTGTAAGGAAGAAAGATGAGAAAATGTCATCAATCTCGAGTTGTGCGTTGTTTCTGTTGATTGCTTGTGGGAAATAATGGATGCGGTTTGTTGGGGGCAAAATTCCATGAAACGAGCAGAAAAACTAAAACTGTGGTTCAACCACCAACAACCACAAGAAAGGAAGAACCTATTCACCATTCAAAGCAAAATTTACAAATTTCAAACACTCGTTTAACATCTCGCTTTCTTCTTCTCTCTTGACTTTTTTCTCTCTACCCTCAAAATTTTGGCCGTACCAATTGTCTCTCTTACACTATTTTCCTCCGCTCCAAAATTATGTTGCGTGAGTTCTTTTTCTCAGCCCTTAATGTTCAATCCCTGATCCACTTTATCTATATATAATGCTTGGCTTTGCCCTCAATCTTCATTGACCAGCATTAATTACACTCTCCTTCCCATGCAAATTGTCTTTCACAAAACATTCCACGTTGCTGCAGTTCCTTGTGTGCATGGCTGCCGAATTCTTCTCTCATTTAATTAACGTAATCAACTTAAATAAAAGAACTCATAATTTAATTTGAGTTAAATACCTAACACTTTAGAGTGTGGGCACAGGAACAAATGCCTGGGAATGCTGTTTTGTGCTTTTGGAGAATCTTTGTAGTATTTGTGGAAGCTGTTTCATTGATAGATGTAAACTTCTTGGAGAAAGGGAAAACAGACTATGAGACAATTTTTCTTTTTCCCCTTGGAGTTGAATTACGAGTTGAAATGGTAACCAGAATCTTTACTGCTTTCTACTTTTGTGATTTCTACAAAAGGAAGTCGTAACTAGTGAGGAAAAGAAAACTTTTCATTTTGGCGATCTTCCATATGTTTATTTTTTTTAGATTTGTATTTCCATCTGCATGGATTGCATTTTTTATGTTTCTTAACTGCCATGCATTCCTGACTTACTGTATTCCAGTGCAATCAACAGTCATGCTGAAAATTACAAACTAGCGTGTTGATTACTCTGATTTTTCTTATGCTCATGAGATGTTACGTACATCTTTGATAATCTGTACATGTGACAAGTGACTACCAACCATCCGTTCTTCTACCCGCTTAGGGAAGACCATGCAGTGTTGATTACTAACTGCTGTTTTGTATATGAGCAGCTCCTAACAAAGGCAATGGTCTTGATATGGATAAGTACTCATGGGGTCAATCTTTGCAAGAGGTTAATGTTGTTGTTCCTGTACCTCCTGGAACAAAGTCAAGGTTCATTGTGTGTGAATTTAAGAAGAATTATCTTAAAGTTGGGCTCAAAGGTCATCCTCCAGTTATTGACGTAAGTGTATCGTGCAGTTCTATGTATCTTCTCATACTGTTCTCATAGCATAAAAAGTCAAATACTTGTGTTTGTTTGTTTGCAGGGTGAACTCTTCCAGCCTATCAAGGTCGATGATAGCTTCTGGAGCTTAGGTAGGTTTTATTGCGTATTCTGCAGATGTGGGTTATATATATATATATATGTATATATATTTTCTGGATATGTCTGTTTATGGATCAAACATGTAATGGGAATGTTATTTGAAAGGAAATGGATGTTAACTATAGTCCAACTTTTTGTAGAGGATCAGAAATCTGTTTCTATCCTCCTTACCAAGCAGAATCAGATGGAATGGTGGAAGTACCTGGTGAAGGGTGAGCCGGAGATTAATATCCAGAAAGTAGAACCTGAAACCAGCAAACTTTCAGATTTGGACGCCGAAACGCGTTCAACTGTGGAAAAGATGATGGTAAGCTCTGATATGCCATAGCAGCATTTGCACCTATGTTTTTACTTTCTTGATCATATTTATATATTTTCAAGATTGTTGCTCAGTCAAGATTATATTAGGCCAGTAATTAAATGGTGACCCAATTTTTGGATAACTTTTTCAAGTAGTTAAATTTGGCTTAAATGCTATTTGCAGTTTGACCAACGACAAAAATCCATGGGCCTTCCAACAAGTGATGAAATGCAGAAGCAAGAGATGCTAAAGAAGTTTATGGCTGAGGTGAACACTAAATAACTTACCTCGCACTTCTCATCTCATTCTTTTGGCATCTCTATGTTTTTCAAGTCACAGTGATTTACTTATTCGAGTTTATGGTTTTGTCCAGCATCCAGAGATGGACTTTTCAGGGGCAAAAGTTTGCTAAATGAGCTGGAGAGAGCTTTCTGTGCAGGTTATGTTCCTTCTTAATATGATACCTCCGTCGATAGAAACTATTGGTTATCTTTTTGGGCTTCTCAACTGAATTTCAAACGGATTTATTTTTCTGAACTAGAGGCTTCTTTTTGATATCTTTTGTCTATATGAACTATCGACAGCGTTGAAGTTAATGATATCTTATAATTATACTGCTACTCAAATTCTTGGGCTTTGTTTTCGAAGTGTGCTTTCCCATTAATAGAAGTATTAAAAGTGAGACCGATGATAATTTGCCTCCCTATTGCGTTTATTTTTTAAGACTAGTAATTTATGGGTGCAAGCACAATACCACACGATGATATATCACTTTCTACAAAAAGTCTTTGGACCCCAATAACCTTATCTCTGTTGTACACTTTCAGTTTGAAAGTGATTCTTTTGTTCTCTTTTGGCGCATTTATTCAACACCTGCAAACAAGGGACATTATTTGTTAACCTGCAATGACAGAGGCTATGAAAATGAGATTTTTATTTTGAAAATTACTGCTTCCTGGCTACCTATTTTTAGGAATTTTCTACGTTGGATATCAATCCCATGTAGAGATACATTTCCAGTTGATATTATTCACCATGCATGTCCACATGCGATATTTTTGTTAAACATAGGCTGAGTGTAATTCATTTTCATATGTTGAAGAAGTGTAATAGATTAAGATCTATGATGGGTCCAGTTTATTGACGTTATGGGTGAACAGAGTTCGGTTTGAGTGGTTTTTGAATTATTTTCAAACCAAACTATTTGAATAAATTTCAAATCAAACCATTGTTGTGATATGATTTGATTTCAAATCACGATTTTAGTTACATGAAAATAACATATTTTAAATAAGTGAAAAAATAAATATGTTGGTATGAAATTTTATTATAACACTTAAATTAAAACCTTTTAAACATAATATTATAATACTAATATATTTGTATCAATACAAGTTTAAGCCTATAGATTTAAGTCTACAATTTCATTCTCATAAATAAATCATTATTTTCTTTAGGATTCAATAGAAATTGTCTAGTAAGTAAATTTATTGAAGAAATAAATTCATCTAATAAATAATATATTTTGCGTAAAATAAATATTTTTTTTGAAGAAAATTGGGTTAACTTTGATTTCACTTCAAGTGGTTTAAACTATCAAAACTTGAACAATTTCTAAATGGTTTTGGTTCAATTTTAAAATGATCGAAACTTAAACCACGAGGATGCAAATCAACAGTTTTGAAGTTGCGATTTTGATTCATTTTAATGGGTTGGCCTTTGTCTATCCTTATAAGCACGTTGATCACCCTTTCCAATGTCAATTATTTCACTTCGTGATAAATTGAATTTATACACACATAACAATTGATTGTAAACACATTTACAATTGAAAAATTCTAGTTGTACAGTTTTTTTGTACAGCCATTTACGCAGCCCCCTCACATGGGGTGGGCCCCACAATGAGGGGGCTGCGTAAATTGTGGGGCCCACCCCATGTGAGGGGGCTGCGTAAATGGCTGTACAAAAAAACTGTACATGTAGCAAAGTTCTTTACAATTTGCTTGTCTCCTCTTGAAAATTTCAGAACTATGAATAGCTGACACGTAATCTTGGGCATGGGCATGGGCATGGGCATGGACATGGGCATGGGATTTATTGTGGGTAGGTGGGGGATGTCACAAATGAACAATACAGATCTTCTATTTTCAATATATTGTACCTAAATGTGTAAAGATCACATCATCATCAGGTGGGGTCATTGATTTAAATGCTATACGTACCGAAATTTTATTACAGAAATCCTACTGAATTTAAAAAAATCTGATTTGGCACTGCAACATTCATTATCTCCTGACAGCCACGACCACCC